TAGCACGGTTTTATGTAAGGTCGCTCATACATTACGAACCTGCTTGTGACGAGGCATGAGTGGTTGAAGGCAATAAACAAGGAGAAGTTCGTCGACGTGAAATTCATCGATTTCAGTAAAGCGTTCGACAAGGTCAGTTATGAGGTTCTCCTTCACAAACTCAGGATGAGCAGTGTCGGTGGCTCACTGCATCGGAGGATCCGCGACTTTCTTGTTGGACGAAAGTGGAGGGTACAGGTCGACGACCATCTAACTGACTGGTACCCCTCTACAAGTGGCGTGCCTCAAGGCACTGTGCTGGGGCCCACTCTGTTCCTGATCCACATCAACGATCTACCGCAGCTTCTCCGGTCGCCGTGTGCCTTGTTTGCGGACGATATGAAGATTTGGGGAGAAATCGACGCTGCCGATTATTGTGGCCTACTCCAGCAAGACCTCAACCGCCTATCCACATGGTCTGCAGGAGTTCTTCTCCCGGTCAAACCAGCTAAGTCTGTATTTATGAGCCAGGGGAAGGGTGCTGACGGCCGAAGCTACACCCTTGACGGCCAACCGCTATATCCCACAGGCTCCGTGAAGGACCTAGGTGTACTCTCACGCTACGATTTGAAGTCCGTGGAAAACACGAAACAGACTATATCGTAACGGACTGCGCATGCCCTGGGCGCTCAAACGCAGCTTCGGCACATGATCTGAAGAGGTTGCCACTCGCCTCTTCTCTTCCATCATTAGACCAATGCTAGAGTACGGTTCGCCCGCCTACTTTCCGATTACCCGAGGCGAGACACAAAAGATCGAACGGGTCCAACACGTTGCTACCAGTCTCATCCCGTGCTTACGTGGCTTGGGGTATGGAGACCGGTGCGAGAAACTAGAACTCTACACCTTGTCCTACTGTCGGGTGCGAATCGACCTCATTATGACCTACCGTATTCTACATCTCGGTGACTTCCCAATGCTAAGGCCAATGCTGCACTTACGAGGGCCATGCAGCACACGCGGACACAGATACAAACTTGTCGTGCCGGATGTGAAATGTGTTCCCCACCCACTGTGCCTCGAACGGAGAGTAGTAAACATTTAGAACAGTTTACCTGAACATGTGATTGAGGTAACAGCAGTGCAGCAGTTCAAAACGTTGTTAGGTTTATATTTTGCAGCTATTCGCTTCAGAGAACGATTGCACACTTACGACGACATATCACACTTGTGAGTCCTGAAATATCGTCAGATATTTTAAATGCTACATGAGAACGACAACGGTATTCACGGTTGACAACTTTTATAACGTTCTTCACCATATTTCGAAAGAGTTGTACGGAATTCGTTTCTACTTGCTCTATATTACAGTATTCAGTATTCAGTATCGCAATTTATACTGCCAACGACTTTAATTAACAAGTTTCTAAAATGGATGCTTTGCGCACAGAAACGGCTGAGTTTACGAGATATGCCCAGATTTTTCGGACTCACCGGAAACGGTGTTTGGAACATATCGTCGACAACTGCAGTTTCCATTCGTGTCCATTTATTTTTACTTTGTGATGGTATTGTGGCTGAACTTCATTAGGTGACATAACAAACGCTGGGATCATCCAAGGTGTGATATGCAATGATTGATCACTGTGTAACTCGGGGTAGCGCGAGTTACTTGTTTCGGTATCTCCAGCATACCCCAGTGTAGGAAATGACGCAGACCTCTTAGGCCATTTGCTGTTTTACGTTGTGCTTAATCTCGACCAGCGTAAGTGTAATTTCGCCAAGCTGCATACACATGGATAGCATATGTAACGATCAAACATGCAAATCTTGATGGATATGAGGTAGATGAATCTGACGAACTCCCAATTACACCACACAAGAGGCCGAAGTGACCATTACTCATTTTTTCGGGCCAACTCATGCCGTGTACACGAGCGGTAATCATCTCCAACGAGCGTCCCATGGTCACTTACTTAGTGGGTGCTTGTGGATTGTGTTCTCCTATCCTATTCGTGTGGGCTGGTCCCTGGCGTAGCTGACACGTGCTACAGTTACTCGCAACTGATGCTGGTTTGCTCTGGACCGCACAACAGGCAACCTCATCCGAGTTGGGCGGATGTACCACTTGGCGAGGCAGTGCTACTTAGTAGTGTAGAGCGAACAGACAATAGTGATGGAATCGAGGAAGTCATGGATCAGTTGTGTCGCATGATCGTTCTCGATGTCCTAACGAACAAAGAGACCATCCAAGGGGCAGACTCTCGGTGGGTCCCTAGTGTTGACTAGACTCGACCAAACTCTTACCATTGAACCAGGCGCTGGGTTTCAGTCAAGTGCTGGTTGATCTGCCAAGAATACCCGAAGGCTCAGTTCAAACTGTCGCTCGAAGAGTAAGCTTCGTATCAGTTTCCGTATATGATGGCTAATACCATGGTTTTAAAGCCAATATGACAATACATGGGGAACTATGTTACGAAGCTCTATCGACAATGGCTTGCTTATCAATCGCTTCGGTCCTACTTCCTCATGAGATCAACTAATTTCTGGCACATAAACGATCTTGATGAAAACCACTCTACTCCTGTACGCTTGTACTGCAGGGAGCCCTTAGATATCCATCTGCTTTCGCGTACCGCTTAAAACCAAGTGCTACCTGAGCAGGCTTCAAACCTCTGTGTCCGTAGTAACCATGTCCACATCCGTTTGCTCAAGCAACCTAGCATCACAAGTCGAGACGCCGGTATTACTCAGTTTTATCGCCGCAGCAGTTATGCATAGTTCGTGGAACAGTGAGAATACGCAAAGGATGCCAACCGACTGTTCGGGTATTCTGATGTTGAAACGTACAGTTGCTTTATACATCTTGTATGTTCAAGTGATCTACACAGAGGGGACTGCTAGTGCAGGGAAGGTGGGCAGTAATTGGTTGGCCAGGGTGTGTTTCGGGTGCTTGGTTTTAAATCTATCAAGACCTCCTAGCACCTTATCATTTCCTAGCTCAACGATCCACTCAAGAAGGAACACTCAAGGGATTTTCCTATCGTTCCAGTCCATCTGAATTTGAATCTGTATGATTTCAGAGACATTAGTAGAATGTACATTATGATCGAGCGGACTGCGTCTACGTAACCTCCAAGTGGACAAACTTTACTCTAACCGAGTCACTAATGACAAGGGAGTGAAGGTTCTAGATAAAGCGCTCACATATTTCCTTAGCTAGCAAATCTCACGATCTTTACTTTTCACTGGTTAAGTAATGTCCTCGTGGGAAAAGTTTCTACAAGAGCTCCGGAATATACACATGGACATGGTCATAACTATCAAATTAGAACGAATTTAAGCTCATTTCTTTGAAGAATGTTCACTTGAATTGATTGCTGCTCATCAGAAGGAGCCTTTGGAAAGGCTCAAGTGACTGTGAACCTTGCACTGACAAACGACTGACAGTCCAACGTTATCTGTCTACTAGTGCAGAACTTTTATAGTTGAATCTCTGATCATCCTTTCTGTGAGTTTGCTTGGCCAGCTATTCTTCAAGCATTTGATAACCACTGGGTGTGTGGAAGTGAAACAGAGATTAGGCGCACAGCCAAGTGTCGATGTCTGTGTAACCGAACACGGTCGAGCAACTGAACTGGTCGGCAGACATCCACACACACTCTGATTGAGGATGTTATCTCCAAGCCTGACCGATAGCTTTTATATGTTCCAACGTTGAAGTCCCCGAACGTTTAGGGCAGCCGAACGTTCATCTTATAGTGCAGTGAGCGCTTTCTGGTACAATGCCTGTGCAGCCTACTTCCACAAATAACGAATGCAGCGGATTGAGAGTATGCATCAGATTGTGACACTGCTGTAATGGTTACAACATGAGAGTGTGAGACAAAAGAACAAATCTTATTATGAAAAGTGAGCAACGACCAATTTGGTTCAAGCTAAGCAAACAATATACGTCTTTTGATAAAACGAAAATGTGTACGCATCGAGTCCTCACTCTAATGCTCGATTCTAGAGCACTGTCTGTCCATTGGGCAGCAGGTTTTTCGCAAGATTATTATGAAGCAACCGCCTTTTGCTTACCACACCATAACATTATCGCTATCCACTTTTAGTTTGAAGTTTAGCAAACTACCACTTTTATTTACCACACGATGATTTGAATTCAACCGTGACTGATTGCGTGAAATGGGATCGAAAATGTTTGTGGTCTGCCATGGCGATAGTTGGCCAAAGATGTCGAAATAAATACAACAACATAGTTAGGTATACAATACAACTCATATTTTGCAGCACAGGCTATTCATGAACTTAGTGATGTGGCCAACTTTCTATGTGTCAACAAGTAACGCATCTTACTTTTAACCACCAACATCATGAAAAACATCATCACAAGTTGCGACAACAACTACAGTCTAAACATTTAAAACAACAATAAGGACAATATCATCTTCACAGTCAACATTATCGCCATCAACAACGCAGGTTTAAAAAACACTACAACGATTGTCACGGTTGCACGTCAAAATCCTCCAACGTTGCATTTTATGGTTTCATCTAGCCAGATGAAATTGGAAAAATTAGTGCTAACGAATGATGAGAGAAATGTATTGGGTGCTTGAACTGATGTCTACCGTAGTGCATTAAATGTGTGGATTAATTGCAACTTCGACAGAGGTTTAGATATCTAGGTTGGAATTGTTTTGTTGGACTCTATTCTGGGTCTTTTTAACTAGTAGCCTACAAACTGGTGCACTCTCGACCCAAAGTCATTTGCTTAACACTTAGGTAACGTATTGGCCGTGAAAGATACTTCAAAGGCGATTGCATAGTGGTTATCCGACAATCTACATGAGATACATTTGGCGGCAAATGGTAATAAACAAGTCACTGCGGAATGCATTATTTTGAGCCGATAAGGGTGTGAATACTTTCACCTTTTCATGCCAACAAAGACTGTGATGAGTTTATGACATACAATTCAATCAAAACAAGTTAAGTCAAGACAACAAAGTGCATTGTGCGCCCATGAAGGGTGAATACCAAGCTCTAACACACACACACACCACGGACAAGGATAAATAATGAAAATGAATTGAGCATGATAATAAATATAAAACTATGATCCTAAAAAAAGCCATGATAAAGCAAATATCACTGGAGTACTTTACTAACCGTTAATTGAGTCGATGAACTTTGAACGTTCAGAAAACATGACAGACAGTTTGGCGAGCGTATATAGTTCATAAACTCTGTCTGGCTAACAGAAGTGAGTATTTTAAATCCAAGCTTGTTACAGAAGTTGACATAACAGGCTATAATGAAGTTAACAAGTTCCAGCATTGAAATACCACTACAACGAAATAGGTGCTTTACTGATCTGGCCATTAATTTGAAGTCTTTACCAAGGAGACCAGGAAACATCACCAGAGAGCAAAAGATTCAGTAGGGTACCACACATACAGTGACAAAACGTTAGATACAAAAAACGGAGTACAGAAGTAGACCTGAGGCGTGTAACATAGAATCAGTCTGCTAACATAACGAATATTTCGTTCACATGAAGTGACATGTAAACCCACTACTCTGTGTCTCTCCTAAGTGTTTTACTGAGATTGAGGAGCTCAACCATTTGAACACTGCTGGTAACGATTTCCTTGGAACAGCAAAAATAGGATAGTCTTGCATTTTGAAGTTCTTAACGGTATGCAACGGGGTTTGGCCAACACCGTTGTTTTAACCGAAAATATTCTCCGACTTGGAGCAATATTAAATGGATGGTGCATTTAAACAAATGTTGTCAATGAAGCACAGAAGTGTAGTGATTGTGTCCTTTGTCAGTCACCCGTACTTTTAGGGCTATATATTCGCGATTACTTCCGATAGTCTTTTCAAGAGCGAGACCGTCCATGTTGCACCCTGTGTTGATAGCGAGCGTTGCTTGAAAATATAAGTAGTTTCAATTTGCTCCAAGTCACGATTGTTTGGCCCAATTCATACCAACGATACTCCAGCAAATAGCGACTTGTATGCATCAACTTTGTTGCAATTTGTTGGGGATGCATCTGATATACAGCAGTTGTCTGGTAGTACTTCTTTTGGCATGCAAGGATAGGTATTTGTCGAGTGTCATCTAGGAAAATGATAAGACCAATATTTGATAAACCGCATAATTTTTCCAAGCTTCCAATCTAATGTATTTAGCAGTGGACCACTTATAGGCAGACGACTGTTAAATCTCAATAATTGATGGTATCCATCTTCAGGCAAGGCTAATTAGATGTGCTGGACAATATTTCTTGCTTATTGGTTATAGTGGAGAGAAGAAGCTTACACTGAAAAGGGAGGCAGGTCCGTTTACAAACAAGAAAGTAGTACGGGATGTTCTTCAAGCAACTGCGACGGAACGCTTTTTTCCAGTAAGTCTACTTTTGGAATGGTTAAAAAGTCATGGAGTCCTTATTCTTCATCTGTGTGACCTACCATTTTTGTTATCGTTTGCAACTTTTCACGACTTGCTTTCATGAAATAAGCTGCCATTTTACTGGTAGTTCTTAGAGGAGCTGAAGAAAGTATCTGATGACTTGACTATGTTTTCGTTGGTGAAGGAAAGAGCTGGATGTCTGCCAGTATCTGTGGCTGTTGTCAACAATAGTACTCAAGAACTATTCTACTTGTTACTAGCGATATTTCTTCACACTTAAAATTCCCGCTTTATGAGATACACTGATTTACTGGTCGACTGCACTTGAAAAAGCAGGCGAAAGGATCTGCAGGCACAGTGCCAATAACATGTATCAGCCATAGTCTTGATTGTAGTTATAGCTGCTTTATTCTGAGGCGAACATATCTCTGAGTTCGGATATTTCGCATTAGGACAAATGCAATTTCGTCGGTGTTATTGAGAGATGCAACTGTTACACTTTGTTTGGGGGAATTTTAAAACGGTTGTGTGGCGTATGAACGTCCCGGCGTTAACTTTAATTACGAGTGACTGAAACAAGGTTTCAAGTGAGTACAACAGTGGGGTGCTGCATAAATCCTGTCCGAACACACTTGAAAAAGTCCGTATACCTGAAATGCTTAACCAAGATGAAAAAGACACTTGGTACGGTGAAATTCATTCTAGATGTATTTGCATTTCGGTAGGTTATTCGGTCATTCAGATTTAATGACCTAAACTTCCTACCCTACGTGATTTCCCGTTATTTATGACCATTTCAACCTGCCTAGTAGAATGCCTTTGCGTTAGGTAATTTGATACCTTCACAGGGACGTCTAAGTGGAGTCAAACGCAAGGGAATACCTAGTGTTGTTCGCAGCTGCTAAACAGCTTCTATGCAAAGAGCAAATTAGAAGATATCATTCTGTCGAACTATAGTTAGTGAGCTGTCATGCATCGATACAGCGAGTTTGTGTGTTTAGCGCCTGGACTTCTCTGCAGCATTGAACACATGGATTTAAGAAGCCCACAAAGCTTGCTCCCATTGTGATTAAACGTCTCTTATTGTTTATAGTATAAAATCACTGTCATGAATTGTAGGCTATATGCTATTACTTTTACTTAAGCACCGCACTATATTTAGCCTGCCAAATCAGTTACATATGAACAGAAACGGACGAACTCAACCTGCTTGTCAACAGATAAGCGACCCCATGCAAGAATTTAAAAGTGGTGATGATCAAATCAGGAATTTTAAGTCATTATGCTAAAAAGATACATAAATTTAAAATTTAAGGATTACTCTGACTTAAATCGTAGTTCGTAATGCATATTCTCAATTCATTCATTAGAATATTTCATGTTAAAAGCTTCGGTTCCTATAAAATATCCACCCTCCATTGTGTGGCTTATTTCGTTACAACCGTATCATTTCCAAATGGCTAGCACTTTAATCCGGATAATTTAAGTTTTACCTCACTGTGTGCATCGTGTTGCTTTTGGTAACAGACAACCATTGAAGTTGACCTGGACATACACGACCACGACGTCGATGAAGATCAACGCATTGCACGATTTCGCAGAGAGTTCCCGGTGTTTGAAACCGGGCAGACTGAATTGAGGTTGGGTGCAGACGTTCGGTGAGTGTGCTATCTAGGTAATTCAATTGCTTCCACTTTGCTTTTGCCTACAATGGTAATGTCGAATCGAACAGCATCGCAGTGACAGTTGTTTCACTGTGGCGATTTTAGGCTAGTGAAAAGAATTATAGGGAAGTGCAGTCACTAAGCAGTTGAAATCGGAAGGTGGCTTTTAAAATTTGCGAGAAACTGACGACCGAATTTCAGCATTATTGGTACATTGATATGAGGTAAAATTAAGGGTTTTTCTGCGGTCGGTGTTTGGTATTATCACGGATTATTTAAGGGGTATAGAGATTATGCATGAATATTTCAGTGAATAATAAAATCATGAGTTTAGGTTGGACTCCACTACAAAGCATCGCGAGCTTCAGCCATAGTGAATGAGTGAATCAGCCATTGTTACACTACAATCAAATAAACAACTAAACTTTGCATTCATCGACGATGTGAGAAATTATCCCCCAGTAGGGACTCGTTGCCGATGGAGCGAAATCTCGCTTTTCTACCGGATTTGATAGCTACCGTCACAATGCACACGATAGGAAACAAAACCGCCAACTATCACTATATATTTAAACGGTTTCCAGGATACAACGAATCGTTGACTAGCGAAACACATTGTGGTTAGATGTCTGCCTCACTTAGCACTCACCCTCATTCTGAAAAGCTGAAACCTCTAGAAGCTAAGGTTTATACTTGTTATCACCATCCGAAATGGCCAGTACTATCATTGCATTCGCTTTCATTACCATAGATGGTTCCAGATAAATAATTCGACATCCTTTCAAGTGGAAGCGGTGGTGATTTATTTTTCAACTGCTACCTTCACTTTTATTCACGTTGCATGACATCTCATCCGTTATTAGTCAACTTTACTGTGCATGCGAGAATCCAACCTAAACCAGCCATTTTTGTATTTACTCATAAAAAGTTACGAACGGATTCTCACTTATGATAATTCACACTCTGTTATGGTGTACGCGTCAGCAATCAGTTCATCGAATATCTCAGCATGTACCTAACGGAGCTCATTACCGCCTGACTACGTCAGACCACAGCGGCCTATCCGAATAAGCAGAAATCTTATGTTGCATTAAAACTATTAATGTGATCGCCCAATTAAACCAAAGATCAATTAAAAATATGGACTCTCAACGGGGTCAGGCAAAACTTTTGGTGAAACGGACTATTTTGTGCATACCACGCTGCTTAAGGGCAAAGGACTGGAATCTACAGTTGACGTCATAGTCAGCCGGTTTCATTCAGTTGCTAGATATACAAGAATATACCTTTTCTCAACCATTTGCATTCACAGCGCTTTCGAATTCCTCCATAATTAAATCATGTTACTCCGTACATTTCTCAAGATGATGCTTAACGCTATCAAGTTGCATTCAACGGGCGCAAACGATCCATCATTCTACTGTTCCTTGAGTGACCAATCGCGAAGCAGCCAACAGCACGTCACTCTATGTACTCACCTGTTATACCGCTGGATGATTTGCGATTGATCACTCAACGAATAGCACACATTATTAGAAGTGTCAGCGCCAGCCGGATGCAGTTTGATAACATTAAAAGTAGTCTTGAGTGATCGTTGGAGAAACTTGATTACTTTGAGGAGTAATTTGAAAACATTATCGATGCATTTGGCTAAGAAAATGTATAGAAGGATGTCAAATTGCCATTCAGTAATGTATCGAAATCAGCTGTCGTTTTGCCATCAACATGCGTCAAAGCTTGTCTATGGATAGCCTTGCCTAGTAAGTGACCAGTAAGTAATAAAACATTTCCGAATCGGTTAGGTCCTTAGACGTTTATTGATCGATACCCAATATTTACCTACTTTAACAGCTATTGCTTTAGTGATCGATTCGACAAGGGTTCATTTCGATATGAATCGAGGTTTACATTAAGATTGCGCGTCGCGGTCTATTCACACAAGTGCATCCGGATAATTCGTCCATTCAGCATCTGACTGCTTTGGTAAGCGCTTCTAGTCGTGACCCACTGACTGAAGTGGTAGCGGTTTCAATTAACATCCCAATGGTCCCCGGTCTGATCCCTGCTATCTGTACTTGGTGAGATCAACCAAGATTAAAACCCGTAGGGAAATATGGTGTTTTTGTGCGGGCAACACCCAATTCACATACACTACAGCCACGGCTCTAGTGATCGAATTGGCCAAGGTTCGCTTCAGTGCGCGTCATAATCCAATCACACGATGAATGCCTCAACATGATCCTTCATTTACTCGTTAACCGTCGTGGCAAGCGTTGGTCGTCCTGACCCGGTGGCCTAGGGGTAGAGGTCACGACTAACATCCCAAAGGTCCATAGCTCAAGGTCTAGCACACTAAGTTAATGCGATCAAATAAGTTCAAAGCGAATCGTTGAGTGCCGCGTTTTTGGCGGGCAACAATTAATATACAGTTGCTTGATCTATTATGCTTCAGTAGTGCTTGTTTATTACGTCGTCTCAACCTTCACGGATATAACCGACCAAAGCATTTTATTCAACCAAGCATATCAGTTGGATGCTGCAATTTAAACCATCTTACCTGCGAATAATCATAAATTTAGGATTTGGCCAAACTTCGCAACAGCCGGAGAATGAGTCAATCTTAGTTACTTAATACTCTTACTCAGTAATGCATATCGAAGTGCAGCACACTAAGCGTTAATATTCGGAATACTATTTTCCCCTTGTTGTTGCATGCATACTGTAGACTTTTGATAGGTGGATGGTAACCCGAAAGACATATTTTGGAAACTTTATTGTATAGCCTTTTTGGACTGCGTGACATGCTGTCGTAATGTGATTCACCTGGGCGAGTTTTTTAAAAAAGCAAGAAAAGTATAGATTTACGCCTTCGTCGCTAGACGATAATAAACCGACAGATAATTGGAGATATTTCAGCATGATCGAACTTTGCATTTTGTCTTTCCACCTAGCCGTGTGTGAAAATGAAAGAATAAGTTGGTGATTTTGTTATACATTCAAATAAATCTGGATCTGAATAAACGTTTTATGTTTGATAGTCCTTAAACATGATTAAAAGTTGTACCTGATTCGAATTCTTGATACTGCCATACCTTTTCCTACGCAGCTATCGAAATTAGAGCTTTTTCAATTTGGCAACGACTGCCGTCTCTATTTGTAGCAGTAGTTCAGATGTTACAACGTGCTAAGAACAAGGTAGTCTTTAAGTAAGGACAAACACCTTGTCATAAAGGATTCCAGATAGTGTAGTCAGCAATTATCAACATTCACTTGAGGATATATATTGCCAGGAAAATTCTAGAAGCCCCATCTGCTTTGTTGTTGTGACGCTTGGTAGTCTGCTGTGCGGTTGAGAAAAATTTAACCGTAAAGTTGCAACACCACTGTGGTGCAACAGTAGCATACCTTCGCCCAATACGACTGACGGTGTAGTGACTAGGAAGTGTGCCAAAGTCTATACAAATTTAGGTGTCAGAAATTAAGCAGAAGCCTCGTCACACTAAGATACTTGTAGGGGGTTGGTTTTCCTTCGAATTTCTACCCCAGGAATGTTTTCTGATTATCTCACATCCCGACTTTTCCGAAACTCTTCAGAAAGTACTTCTGTTACTTAGTTAAACAAATATGCTGCTACAAGTTGAAACAATGCAGCAACTCCTATCATCTCAGCTCAGTGATTTATGTAAATGTCACTTTACATCTGTCATTCTGCCTTTGTTCTACTATACTCAGTGTTCACCTACAGTCGAATTCAGCATCTAACATCGCTGTCCCTATCTGGTAATACCTGTTCCTCTCTTACGGTTAAGCACCAAACTAAATGATAGGTGGCGCTTATTGGACTAGTTTGCCAAGTCAACAATAATTTAGTCTTTTTGGATGTCTGAGAGATACACCCCTTGTTTAACTGTGGTGTATGGCATAATATTGAAAGGAGCAGCCACAGCTTTGACAGTGGGTAACGGGCGAATGGCCACAATATCAGAAGCCATCGGGGCATTATCTATTCTAGGTTGAATTTGAGGATACCGACCCAATTGTACCGGCCGCCATTTCCTTGCCAGGCTGATCAGATACAACACCTAGGGCGCTTAGTTAACTGCAGCGTAACATCGGTTGGGCGAATCAGTATAATCCCCATACTCTTTTTTCAGACATTAACTTTCCTTTTGTGATCGAAAGCTGTGTGTGAGGTGCAGGCACCTTGACAATAAGCATTCGTTTGACAATATGTGGCCTTACATGGGGTTGTTCCTCGTAACATTCCATTAAAGATCATTAATAAATCATCAACAAATCATATCTTTACTGCTTCCAAAGCCCTAGAGAGGATAGTCAAGAAGAACATTGTTCGAAATCGTACGAGACTGGATCTGATCAACCCTTCACTGCATGGCTTTCTTTCAAAACGCTCCTGCGTTACCTGCTAGCTACAATTTTTCGATCACATCACGACTATGATGGACACAGGAATGGCAATCATTATAATTCTGTTGGGCATGCATAAGGCGTCCGACCGCGTGCCGCACAAGCCACTGCTGTCTGTTCTAGGGTCACATTGAATTGGAAATCCTCTGCTTAACTGGTTCGACTCATAGCTAAACGGTCGAACCCAGGTAGTTAAAATCGTTCAGCAATATTCTACACCGAAACCAATAACCAGCGACGTTTTCCAGGGAAGTGTGCTCGGACCACTACTTTCCAAATGTTCGTAAACAACATATGTGACCTGATAAACATGGACACCCATTTCTGTTTGCAGATGACGTTAAACTGGGCTACTCATTTCATCCAGACCAACTACACATATGCCTGGGAAACATCTATGAATACCTATCCGCACTAAAGAGAGCTAGTGAACGTTTATTCATGAAGTTCTCCGCAGTGAAATCCTAAGTACTTGGGTACAGATGCCGCATCCCAGAAGGCTCTATCACACTTGCTGGAAACGTGATCCCAACGTCTGATTCAGTTCGGGGCTTAAGAATTAGGTA